GCCGCAGTGGTTGTGTTTCTGCGAGACGGGAAACGCCGTGCCGGTCGCGATCCCCCCCCCCCGCGCTGGAGAGCGGTGCCGGCGTCGGCGAGCACTCTCCCTGCGGGCTCCAGCGCCGGGTCGCCTCGAGGTGCAAAGCAGGGCTGCGAGAAATAACGACTCGTTTTTTAAAGATCCACGAGGGCAGGTCAGAGACCCGCGTGGGCGAGAGGGAGCACCCTCATCTCCGGGTCTGCGCCTGGCACGCGGTTACCGAATCCAATTCCCGACCGGATTTGAATTTTTGGCGTAATTTTACTGAAACGCATCGACACGAACGCGAGCAGAAGCGTCTCGACCTCTGCAAGGCCGGCCCCAGCCCCGCGGGGTAACGCCGGCCCCGGTTTGTGCGGGTTCTTCCTGCGTGTGTTCCACAGGGACGTGCGGCAAGTCAGGTGGGCAGCATCCACTCCAGTCGATTTGGGTTATTACATTACAAAAGCCTCAGTAAGAACATTAATTCAATTTCTGTCAGGAGATAACGACACCTTAATTCCCCTTCCCGGAGCCTGTTAGAAAAGAACAAGCCTCGGCAATCGCTATTTGCAGGCAGGCTTTAATAAAGCACACCCACATCAAACGAGGCCGCGCTCGGCTCTCTTCCCCCTTATTCTTTTCAGGATGCGGCTTAAAACTGGCTTCCTTCGTTTTAAAAGCAGCTTATCTGATCCTCTCACAAAGGCGCCCACTCCTTCCCTTTCTGATCACCTCGCCCAACACTTCCCAGCCCCCCGAACCAACCTCCCACCCTTTCCTGGCCCATCGTAGCTTAAAATAAGACGCGCTTTTCTGCTTATCCAGCTCTTTGGGATGCTGTGGGTGGTTTTTCCTCTCTTGGCTCAGGAGATGCTGCTGGGCGAGGGAGGCTCTCCGCCACCCAGACGTTTTGGGTGCACACCACCGGTCCAGCCTCACGCCTGCACCCAGCGAAGCTGCTGCTGCTTCCCGGGGCGGCCGAGGGCATCGCTCCGCCGAGGCCCCTCTCCAGCCGCAGTTTTTCTTTCTCTTTTTTTCTTTTCACCAGCTGCATCGCGTCTGGTGTCTGAAGCATCCAGCCCCTCGACGGGGTTGACGCTGCAGCGCGGCCTGTGCTTTCCTCCTGGGGACTTCGCACGGGCGACGGGTGCGAGCCGATATCCTGGGACCCCGCTGGAAGAGATGTGCCGGGTAGCGCTGCGTTGTGATGCATTTACATTGTTAAGCCAGACAATGCTTCAGCACTTGTCTCCCGTTAGCTACGAACCGCACGTTTACCGTTAGCGGTTGATTTTAGAGCTGTGAAATGACAGGATACTTCTTTGCTTTCTGAAATTATTCTCTTAAACATAGATTTCCCGTTATTTGCTTTCAAGCTGTCAGGATGACTTTCTTAGCCTGACACAGAGCGCCCAGAGGACCAGGTAGATGAAATATTACAAGCGGCATCGCTTGCGCTTTCCTCCTGAAATTAGATTTAGGCAATCCCCGAGTAAATAAAAAATCATTTATTGCCACTAGGCAGAAGTCTCTTTCACTTTGTGGTTAAATTACCCTGGAATTTGCCGAGTCACTAGAGCTGAAAAATTCACATAGAGGCAAAACCCAGACAAGGGCAATTCCTTCTGATAATACACAGAAAAATTCATTCCTTGACTTGCTGTCAGGAGCACGGCGAGAGAGGCGGCACGCTGCGCCGGCCGCCCTCCTGCTACAGCTGCTCCCAGCGGGAGCCGGGAGCCGGGGGCATTAAATCGGCTGCCTGCAAGTGTTTGTCACCAGCTTGGAAGACAACTAATGACAGCTCTTGCTCCTGCCTTTCTGCTAACGCTCTTGGTCCCCAAACCTCCGCGTGTGGCTCCTCGCCAGCCTGGGCTTTGCCGGTCCCCAAAGCGCCCATCGAGGAGGGGGTCACCGAACCCTCCTGCTCGGCGGCTCCGGGCGAACGTCCCCGCCGCCGCCGTGGTGCGAGGGGCACCGGGGAGGGGTGGATGTGTGGGGGGGTCGTGC